CACACACACACACACACACACACACACACACACACACACACACACACACATACACACCCAGATCCTCAGAAGCACTACCCCTTGCACAGGTCACAAGAGGCACACCCTCTCAGGCTGCCATCCTGCTCACTGGGTTATGGGCCCAGGGACATGGTCCTGGTTCTCCCACAGAGACATCACGGATGTCCCAGCTGAACTAGAGCAGAACTACTTCCTGCTTCTTCGGACCTTGTGATATGTGTCATGTCATCCCCATTGTCTCATTAGAGTTGCTCCTACCTGTGATGTCCTCGTTCTGGGAGGGAGAACCTAATTCTGCAGATACTACAAACCTGAACTACATAGGTTGCCAGTCAGTGTGTGTCTTCTGACCCGACCACAGAGGGTAGCACAGAGGCCTGGGTGGGCAGGGGAGGACTGATGGACCTCAGGGTTGGGGCTGGTGGCACTGAGGGAAGAGAGGCTCAGGCAGAGAGACTGGGGCTCCTCACACTGATCCCTCTAGGAGTCAGGAAGCACAATGGGGATTAAACAGGCTCTAGACATGCCATGTCCATAGCAGAGCTGAGATGGGCTCAGAAGGCCCTACACATTCAGCTGGAGGATAAGAAGATCCTCTTGGTGTCCTGGGGGAACTCCATCAGGCAGGCAGCAGGCACTGTACCCTACCTCCTGATGATGATGAGATCTTGTCTCACTTCTGACCTACATGGGAGAATATAGAGACCAGAAGTCCAACATTTGCTCACTGTGGTGATAATCAGAGGGCAAGGATAGAGCCTGGATGCCCAGACATACAGATGGGTCAGTTAGGAGGCAGTCAGGGGTCTTTCTGGGTTTGTTAGTTATGCCCCACCTGAGAGCTTTGTGGTACCCATGCTGCCTGCAGAATCCCCCAAGGGAAGGGAGTGCCCAACCATGGCAGGGACACTTGTGGGTTGAATTGTGTCCCACAGCTCCCAAATGAATGTTTGTGTCCTCACCTCCAGCATCTCTCACTGGGCCCTGATTTCAGTATAGGATTATTGCACACATAATCCCTTAAATTCAGATGAGGTTGCACTGGAGTAGGCTGGTCCCTATTCCAATTGGACTGGTGTCCTTATGATAGCGAAAATTTGGAGACACATTCTGACAGGGGAGGTCACCCTATGAAGTTAGGGAAGGAATCTATAAGACCAGGAATGCCAAAAATTGCCAGAGAAACCCCAGGTGCTATAAGAGAGAAGATGAAACAAATTCTCTTCCACAGGCTACAAATCAACAAGCAATCTGCTGGTGCCTTGGTCTCAGACTGCTGACTTCCAGAACCGTGAGACAATACATTTCTGTTCTCAGCTCCTTCCCCCTAGTTAGTGTGGCTCTTTACTCCCACCCCTAGCAGACTAATGTAGTCACCCATAAGAAGTCTGATTTCCCCACAGCAGCAGCATGGCTGGACTCCTTCCAGTTGCTTTATTCTCTGTGATCACAGCAGCAGGAGACAGGCCTCAGCCAGGTGCTTTCCTCTCCTAGAGTGTCTGATTCTCCTCCCCTGAGGACTGCCTCAAGTACCCCAGACAGCACAGAGTCTGTCCTATAACCCAATACTCCTGCTGGGATCCCATATGACTTGGGTCTGTCTGGGGCTGGCTCAGGGCCTCGAAGGAGCCTGGCCATGGGGCTGACCTGGTTCCTCTGGGACATGCAGACAACACCTGATTCATGGAAAGGTGGTCCTGTGGCTTCCTTACCTTACTCCTGCTGCTTCATGTCTCCTCTGTATCCCCCACAAACACTAAAATCCCATCCTTGGCATGTCGTCAGAATGGGAAACTGTCATTCTGAGGTTTGTTCATCACTTACAAAAGTGGGTGCTTACCTGTTAAACAACCACCTGTCGCTGCACATTCATCAGGATTTCTAGTCTATTTACACATGGTGCTGTTGTCTCTATGACAGCCACCATCTGACAGCAGACCTGCAATTGCATTGTCAGCCATTTTATTTCTTTAAAAATTTTCAGCAATGTTTCATGGGAACATATGAAAATATATGAGAAAAAACTTCATGGTTTGTGATTTTGGGAGGATCCACACAATCACATGTTCCCATATGCTGTAAGCTCAAGGGCCTGAGCCATGGTCCCTGCAGCCATGAAAGTCACGTCACTCTGGAGATAGTCGCACAAGGAGGCAGTTGATTCTTCTTCCAGGGACCAGGGACCCCAAGTTCTCTGCCTCCTGCCCCCTGAGATGGTCTGAAAAAAGGAGCTGCAGCCCCAGGTCTGAGTTGGGGTCACGTTGGGGAAGGAGAGGCAGAGTGTGAGTCATCGGGGTGTCTCTGGTTGTGCCCAGCACAGAGGAGTCAGTCCCTGGGAACACTGGTGGAGAGAGAGGGGACCTGAATTTCCCAGGTGAGGTGCTCATTGTTTTAGGACTCTTGGCAGTGTCCTGGGTGACACTGTGTGTCTGACCCTGAGAGCATGGTCCTTGCAGCCTGTGGAGTTAGGGTGGATCATCCTGAAAGCCTCTGAGGACTGAACCACAGACAACCCACTGACCCCCAGGCCTGGTGTCTCTGTG